GAGAGAGAGAGAGAGAGAGAGAGAGAGAGAAGGAGGAGCAGCGCTTTTCCTTCTGCAAACCGAACACCAACTGGGGCATCCTGAACACAGCGCACCAACAAGCAACACATCGACGTCCTGCTCTGTATTTTTTAATTATTTACTTATTTTTTTAAATATTTCCAGCTCTTTATCTCCGGTGTGTGAAGGAGTCCGGATCTCAGAGAATAAAACGCAGGTGCGTCTCCTGATTTGCTGATCTGCGCCTCGTTTGATGGTCTGGTTTCGGTCCAGGAGCCTGTGATAAAGGGAAAAAAAAGATGCAGCTTCTACCTGACAGATGTGCGGCACCACAGCTGCTACCTACAGGTCTGTATCTGAATCATGCCTGCTCTTTACGCCATGAAAATCTCTACATGAACCGATTCAATATAAAGAATCGCGATTGTGCATTTTGCTTCATCTGAACGGAAATTTTGTGTAAGACGTTTGAACTGATTATTTATGGGCTTTTAGCTGTGGTTGCATCCTGCTCAGATACACATCTGATGGCAGGTATTTTGCTGCACACTCAGATTAAAAAGAAGTACCAGGCTACAGAGGAGAACAGGTTAAGGTTTATTTTTACTTAAACTGATCATCTATGAATGTCTCCTGTCTACCTGCTGCAGATCTGCTGTGCTGTGCTGTTTGGGACTGAGACTCCTACAGCTGCAGTTCTCATCGTCATCATCATCGTCGTCATCATCATCAACAACAACATCTGCAACTTCAAACACAGAGACACAGAGGACAGAGGCTGACGTCTGGCTCTTCAAAGTCCCCACAGAAGATGAGCGGTTCTGATGAAAGCAGCATGAGATAATTGGGGAATACCTCGCTGATTCAAGCTCTTTTAATTCTTTTATTTATTTATTTTTTCTGTTTGAGGGACTGATAAGGACAATGTCCCCGTGTGTCAGTTGACTGACAGAGTCACAGTGGTGTTCCAGCTAAGCCAGCAGCTCAGGCCCTTAGGCACCACGAAGGGAGATGGCTCGGCCGGGATCGGGGCTGCTGGTGCCCATGAACGGGCTGGGGTACCCGCCTCAGAACCTGGCCAGGGTGGTGGTGTGGGAGTGGCTGAATGAGCACGGGCGCTGGAGGCCGTACAGCGCGGCGGTTTGCCACCACATCGAGAACGTACTGAAGGGGGACGCCCGGGGAAGCGTGGTCCTGGGCCAGGTGGACGGTCAGCTCTCTCCTTACATCGTCGACCTGCAGTCCATGCACCAGTTTCGACAGGACACAGGTAAGACCTGTTGCAGGTCATGACCAGTGCAGAAACCCAATGTTACAGTGTCTGATCATGACTTTTACTAGAATAAAGAGCCTAAAGGAGCCACAGGTAGAGCTGAGGGAGCACACAGGTGATTAAAGGTGTAGGTGCTGTAGCTGGGATGGTGTGACCTTGGCTAAGGTCAGCGTGTGGGAGCAGCTGCTCTTCTCACTGATCAGCTGATGTCAGGCTTGTTTCTGTTTGTTCCTCTTGACCAAAAGTTCTAGCAGAACAGTTTTATTCGATCATTTGTTTTTGACTTAAGTTAAAAAAAAACATGAAAAACTCATAAACTCTAACAGCTTAATGTGCCTGTGAAATGCATATCCATCAAATACAAAAAGTCAAGGAAAACATATTTATATTTAAGAAACTTGGCCGACAACACAGACTGCAGTCTGTGTTGTCGGCCGTTGTAGCAACGCTCTGTTCAGATGTTCCCCTTCGTCATCGCTTCCTGTTACTTCACATGCAAATACCTCAATATCTGTTCATCTCAGCGGCATGATATTATTTTTTTGCAATATCTTATCAATGCTCTCTTTCCAAAAATGCATTAATATTTATTACAGAAATTTGATGTCAAAGGCACTTGAAAGTGGACTCAGCATGTATTTAGTACACAGCATACTTCTTTTTCTGAGCTTCTTTAAAAAAGACCTAACGACTTTTGGTTCTTATTGACTTTGTCTTTGTGTGTGGATTCTTCTTCTTAAACCAACAACAATCTGAACAAAACCTCTTTGAAAAATGTTAATACTATTAAATAACTTGTAAATTGTTTGCATGAATTAAGCGGATAATATTTGAAACTCTGACTCCTTTAATATGTTTCTGTTGAACGGAGAGACCACGTTTTCTAAAGACAAATAAAAATGATTTTTAGCTGACGATGTCAAACTCATTTTCACACTTTAAATGTTTTTAGCATGGGTTCTTACTGTGTTTTCTTGTTATGTAACATCAGAGCATCACATGGTTCAGAGAGACACACGTGGGATTTGTGGAAGGTGACCTCACCGTGCGTGGATCTGTGCTGTGTCACCTTTCATTAATTTGCTGTGGTTAATTTGTACGTTTGTTATGACATCAGAACACAGAAAGAACAAAAGATGACTCTGACGCTGAAAGGTCTTTAGACTGTCAGGCTGATAAATGCCTCATATTTGGAAGAAAAACCCCATGAAAGCAGTTTATTAAATTGTTAAATGCACAGCAATGACTGTGCAAATGGTGCCCTTAAAATGTTACTTTGCGGCTTTGTTTTTCTACAATATGTTGTTATGCAATTGGCTCTGGCTATAAAAGCCTAGAAAGTAACACTTTGAGCATGTGTTGTGGATGGCTCTCAGCTACTTAATACATCAAATTTTTTGCTTGATACCTGTAAAATTGGCTGAGAGTTTTTGTAGTTTTGTGTTGGCTAATGTTGATTAGCTGTGGCAGCCATCTTGAATGGTACTACTCCAAATGTTAACCAGTTGTACATGTGTATCTAATGATTACTATTTGAAAGCATCATGAAAATAGTCTTGTCAATAACAAGATATTTTACTAACAGACAAATTTGACTCCAGTAGTTAATGACAGGCTTTAAGAACAGATCTTGCCCATTTAGTTAGCTATTGGAGTAAAAGATGAAGAAGACTCTCGGCTACAACACAGATTTTAGCTCAATATCTGTAAAACTGACTGAGTTATAGCCACCACACACACATATTTATTATTTATTTACACATATATTTCACATATACCTAATTTCCCGCTGGGATCAATAATTTTTGAATTGAATTGAATTGAATATTTGATATCCTATTATTATGAGGACTTTGCATTGACATCCATTCATTTACTCGTCATTTCTACAGACACACACACACACACACACACACACACACACACACACACACACACACACACACACACAC